GAAAAAAGATACGGTAGAGCAGTTGATTGGTGGGCATTTGGTGTTTTGATATATGAAATGCTTTTGGGACAATCACCATTTCGTGGTGATGATGAAGATGAAATTTTTGATGCAATTCTAGAAGATGAAATTTTATATCCAATCAACATGTCTAGAGATTCTGTTTCCATATTACAAAAAGTAATTAATTTTATTTGGCAAAGCAAAATGATAATATTTTGCTTATAATTAATATTTTAATTGTTAACTTATTTATTATACATTACGTTATTATTATTAGTTGCTAACTCGTGAACCAGAGAAGCGTCTTGGGACTTCTATAGCTGATGCAGAAGAAATTAAAAAACACCCATTCTTTAAAGGTGTAAATTGGAATGATATGCTTGCAAAGAAAGTACCGCCGCCATTCTATCCCACAATTGTAAGTTAATCTTTAATATTTGATTGATTTTTATTATAATTTTTTTTTTTAAAAAATAATTTTATTCTCTGATGTTGTATATAGTCATGTCCAACTGACACTTCAAATTTTGACGAAGAATTCACGAAAGAAGTACCAGTACTTACACCTGTTCAGACACAATTAGGCTCTGAGGAACAAGAAGAATTTCGTGGATTTTCTTATATTTCTAATTGGATTGCTAATCCAGAAAATTAATTGATTGACTGATTGAATATTTTATTGGTAGATATTATTATTATTATTATTTACTACTAATACTAAAATCGGGATTATGTTTTATTATTAATTACTATGTTAGTAACAGTAGTTCACACATTCATGCATTCATTTTTTTCAATCCATTTAATTTTGAATTTATATTTATTTATTTACCATAATGATTAGCATTTCAGTTTGCACTTGTATTATTGTTTTATATTTAAATATCTATGGAGAATGTAAGGGTATTGCTTCGTAATATAAATGTAATTAATAAAAGTTGTTTTTTACAACATCCAAAAATCTCGTGCCACATAAGTATAATGAATACCTGGGCTATCTTTATAATAAAATTAGATTGATTTTTATTTTATAATTTAATATATAATGGAAGAAGAGTATGAAAGTGTATTATTGGTAATTCGCGAATGTTATGGCAAGCATTCAAAGCATTCAATTTTACTATGAAGTTGGAATTTCTGTAGTAAAACCATTTGAATTAAGATATTTTTTCGATTAGTTTATAAACTTCCAGCAAGAACTTCAAGTAGAGAATACAAGTAAATAATTAATAACAATAATATATAATAAGACTAAAATAAATAATTAAATAATTAAATAATTAATTAATAAAATAAAATAGAGCATCAGATTGGGGAGATATGGAAGCATATCTGTGGAAAGGTAGATTAAGAATTATTT